ACTATACTGCATTCTCACATTTGCATTACAGGGGTCCCAGAAGAAGAGAGAGGGAAACGGGCAGAGAACATATCTGAAGATATAAGAGCTTCTCTAAGCTATTTCTCTAAAAACTTCTCTAACCTGGGAAAGGAAACAAACCTCCAGGTCCAGGAAATACAAAAAGTCCCAAATCAGGACCTACTCAAAGAGATCCTTATCTAAAATTCTCATCTAAAATTATAACCTCCCTAGACTTCTCAATCCTCTTGCCTGCTTTAATTAGATTACTTATCATCACTAATATACATCTTACTTTTTTCCTTTGCTTACTCTCTGTATGCCCCCACACCTCCACCCAGAACATAAACCCTGTGATGTTAAGGATTTTCTTTTGCTATCCACTGTATCCTAAGTGCCTAGAACAGTGCTTGATATATATTCTTTGCTCAGTAAATACTTGTTGAACGAATGAATCCATCTTCCTTTGGTTGGCTCAGCAGTGAAAGTACAGAGTCCTAAACCACTGGACTGCTAGGAATCCCCTGTTGTTGGCTCTTATCCTTTAAACATAATCAAGTCCACTCTAGTCTGCAACATTCTTCCTTTGACCTAACTCACCCCTCAAGTCAGCTCTCTTTCCCTCCACCAGCTCACTTCCTGAGTCATGTAATAAGCTCAATGTTCCTACTTTCTTAATATCTGCTGTTTAACCTCTTAATAATCTACTAAATCAGTTTCCACCAAGAATATTCACAAGCTCCAAATTCTCAAACCTGATCACATCTCTTCCACTGTAAAATGTACCATTAGAGTTTGAAGGGTTTTGCTGGAGGGAATAAGGGTCTGTGTGTAGAAATACTATAAAGTGCCTCCTAATTCTCCAAAACATTACACTGTGGGGCAAGGGTAGAGGCGGGAAGTGTGCTAGAAAAAGAAAAAATATGATACTTCCTCTCATTCTCCTTCTTGGCTAATTGGAAGTTTTGGCACTTCTAGAAGCTGTGGTCTCAAGACACGCTCTTCCTTGGCTACCGGGTTCAGACTCTCCTTGGCTTTCTTTTACCTTTTTAGGCTTTCTTTCTGAATCTCTCTTCTTAAGTCCTTTCTCCTTCCATCCCTTTATTGTTGGTGTTTCCTTGGGTTCCGTTCTCCAGTCTCTCTGTTTTCATTCCCTATAGTTTCCAGAGTGACTCATACTTTAAATGCTCATATTTTCAACCACTGACTCCATGCTCCAACTCCAGCTCCCATTATCTCTTGATTTTGCTCAGACCTCTCCAAGCTTTAGACTCAAATTTCCATCAACCAACAAAATAGCTCTGCCTTGATGTCTTATAAACGTCTCATATGTAGCATGTGCCAGGATGAACTTATTATCTCTCTCTGCCCCTGCCAAATCCACTCTCCCTCCCCCATTCCTAGTCTTATCCATAAATATGTATTAACCCAATAATTCACAGTTAAACTTGAGAATAAATCTTAACATCTCCATCTCCTTCTCTCCCAAAAAACCACCCACCCTCTACCTCAGACTCTACCTCATAAATATTGCTTAAATCCAGTCCCTCCCATCCATCCCCCTCCCCTGTGTGCATGCGTGCTAAGTTGCTTCAGTCATGTCTGACTCTGCGACCCCACAGATTGTAACCTGCCCAAATCCTCTGTCCATGGGACTTTACAGGCAAGAGTACTGGGGTGGGTTGCCAAGCCCTCCACCAGGGGATCTTCCCAACTGAGGGATCGAACCCAAATCTCCTGCAGCTTCTGCATTGCAGGTGGATTCTTTACTGCTGAGCTACCAGAGAAGCCCACTTCCCTCCCCTACCCACCATCAATGCCTTAGGGCAAGTCCCCGTCATCTCTTACCTAATGGACTATTGCCAAAGCCCAATACTAGTCTCTTCCCATTGCTCACCAACTTCTTGGTTTATTCCTGCCAGAGTATCTCACAAAGCCAAGTCTTATGACCACTAAGTATGATGATAGCAGAACTGAAAATACTTTGATATATATTCTCACATTCTTATGAAAAATCTGTATCTGTATCCCCAAAGAAATTCTTTTTTTCCCTCAAAAAATGTTAGTGCATTAGTATTAAGAAATGACATTGATGGCAAGCATCACCTCTTCTGAGACAAGACAGCATGACCAGGGCGAATAAGCAGAGGTCTCAGATGGCCCTCACAATACTCATTAACTTGGAGCCAACCAAAGCACACTATGGGTGCTTCCCTGGTGGTCCAGTGGTTAAAAATCTGCCTTGCAATGCAAGGGACAGAGGTTCGATCTCTGGTCTGGGAAGATTCCACATGCTGCCGGACAACTAAGCCCATGTACCCAACTACTGAGCCCACGCTCTAGAGTCTATGAGCCACAACTACTGAAGTCCATGCACCCTAGACCTGGTCTCAATGAGAGGCCCGCTTGTGCAACTAGAGAAAGCCCTTGTGCAGTGATGAAGACTCAGTGCAGCCAAAATTAAGTAAATATATATATATTTTAAAGCGCACTATGGGAGAAGAGAAGCAGGATGTGATGGGAGGAGGGAGGGGACTCTTCGGGAAGCCCCCAGGTTTGTTGTTTTGTCTTGCTTTGTTTTGCTTGTTTGTGTGTGGGGGTTTTGCCTCTGTGAACTGGTAACCTTAGGTCTACCCATGAGTATACAGAGACTTAGAATTGTTCTCCAAAATAAGCATTACTTGGCCAAGATACCAAGCAGTAGGACAGGAGCTCACTCTGCAGTTTAATGGAGGTTTGCTCTCAGTAGAAAAGGGGAAAAGCAAGAAAATGGGCCCAGAGAAGGGTCCTTCCTGAATGCCTTTATGCCTCTGGACAAAAATATTGACAGAATCCTGACACCACAGTCTTGCTATCCTCTGAAATATGACTCTATGGCAACAGAACTGTTCTTTCCTGGATCCTAGTGAGATTTTTATGGGTAGAGGACTGAGATATCTTCCCACTCACAGAATACCTAGAATTTGGTGACTGTATTATTCCAGGATCCAGATGGATCTAAGAGGGTCAAGGGGAGACCACTCATTCCTCATCTCTAACACTGAACTAGGATGAATCTCCCCTAATGCTTCCTTAAACTCCTTTTAGAATAAGATGAAAGACACTGTTGATTTAAGAAAAATGCACAACGTGGGAGTTGCAAGTTAAGTTTTATTTGGAGCCAAATGAGGAATATAGACGCAGAAATAGCATTTCAGACAGTCTTGAGAAACTGCTCCAAAGAGTTGGGTGGAAGGTCAGTATATATGTGATTTTGGTGAAGGGGGAGTACATGCAGTTAAGCACATATTTTGGTAGAAGGTTTCTGCTAATCAAAAGAAGCAGAAGTCCCTGAGAAGAAATTTAGTGCTTTTCTAGATGAGGAAATAAAAGAATTGGGCTCATAAAATCAGCTTCTGAAGTATCTATCTGAAGACCTGTTCGGCCAGTTTTTCCAGAGCAGAGTGCCTCATTTCTGCTCTCCACTCTGAACTCCCTTCAGGGGATGTTAAAAGCCAGCAGCTGCAGCAGCACATGGTTCTATGCTTGTAGAGGTGAAGGAGCAAACAGACAGAACAGGCTCCATCTTGAAAGCAGGATTCCATCCGGACTGTGGACTTTGAGCTAGATGCCCAGTATCTATGGAAACCACACACCAACTGGAAAACCAGGCCCCCTGGATGGAAGAGCCCCAGGGCTCGTACCTAGACTCTCTGTTGCCTAAAAGAATACCTTAATTTTCTGTATAACTGAATAGAATAATAAATTCTATTATGCTTATTGGGGTATGACCACAGGCCTATTGATAATTGTCCACTGTTAACTACCTAGGCTTAAGGCATATGAATCATGGGTTAACTTTGATTGTATCTTTCTTTTCCTTTGTTCAGACTAGTTTCAGGGAATTTGGGGTGGGGGGTGGGTTTGGGCACATACACCTAGGGTATATAAGGTTTTCAGAAAAACTGGTCAGGGTCCTTGGCTAAGAGGAGACTCTGCCTTGGGCCCTCTGGTGTAATAAACTGCACTCCTCTATCTGCACTGTCCTTCTGAGTGAGTTTGTCTCCCAGAACACGTAGCTAAAACATTTGGTGCATTGGCAGGGAAACTCCTCACTTTGAGGAGACAAGTCCCATTTGGGACTACTCCGAGGCCTTGCGGCTTGGACCTTCTAGAGGGGAAAGGCGCCTCGCCCTTCTGGAAGGATTCTGCTTCTCAATGACTGGACCTTTCACGTTAGCAGGTAGTGGACGGCAGCAGGGGAACTGAGAGCTCAGGTGAAGAGGAACTCACCCGGTAGGGTGGAAGAGGGGGCCTAATCACTCCCCTGGGAGGGATTAGAAGGGGGCACAGACCCACAGGAGCCTGGAATAGGCAGGTGGCAACAATTGCTTGGTATACCGGTTGAAAAGTGTGTTAGGGCTTAGGAAGGAAATTTGTGAAGGTCATTTAGGAGGTGGTGTCCACACCATCTTGGGGAAAATTATTACCAAGCAATTGCCAGGGGATTTTTAGGAGAAGAAACTTGGTTTTTGAGTGCTCATAATCTGCCCTCCCTAAGGAGGTGTCCCCTCTGCTATGAAATTCTTGACCCCTTCGGAATTGTCAGGCTAAAAGGAGGAGGATACATAAGTGAGTACGAATTGGCTTTTCCGGAGATGGCCTGGGACGTGGGATACTTAACCCATCTGTATTTTCAGCCGCACCTGATCAAGCCCACCAAGGCAGAATGGACTTTAAAAGTTAAGGGAGAAACAGTCTTGCACCACGTGCTCTTCTGGTTCGGCTTTGCTGACCACCAGGTGAAGACATGTCAATCCCCCTTCTCCCTCTGGGATTTGGCAGGTAAGGCTCTTCCCACCCCAATTAGGAAGGAGGCAGAATGGCAATTTAAGTGTCATTGAGAGGAAATATCAGAAGTACTTAGGGTACTGAGAACTTCATAGACAGAACGAAAAGGGAAAGTAGAAGAAGGCCTGAGAAGGTAAGCAAGATGCGGGGGAGTGAATCTAAGGCAACTGTATTGGAGTGCATGATTTAAAATTTAAAGAAGGGATTTGAGGAGACTGTGGGGTGGAGATGAAGCCTAACCACCTCCACATACTCTGTGAGGTCGAAGGGCCCCCTGTGGGAGTAGGATGGCCACCAGAGAACACCGTGAACTTAAAAACAGCGGAAGCAGTCTACACAGGAGTCACAGGAGAGCCAGGACACCTGGGTCAATATCCACATATTGACTCATGGCTAGGGTTAGCCCAAGACCCTCCTACTTGGACAAGGTTCTGCATCCAGAAGGGAAAGGGAAAAATATTAATGGCACAAAAATTGACTGATGATGAGAAAGGAAATTCTACAGGAGTTGGACAGGGATGACCGGGCTGCCGTCTATGGGGTCGCACAGAGTCAGACACGACTGAAACGACTTAGCAGCAGCAGCAGACCTGACCCCTCGCCCATACTGGGTAATGACGCGCCTGCCTCCCAGGGCTCCACCAGGACCAGAGGCCGCCTTAATGCCCCATCCAGGGCCGGGTGAAGTTCCTGCAGCAGCCGCTGCTCTTCCACCCGCTCTCCCGGAGTTCACAGAGCCGCCATTTTGGCAGCCTCCAGTCCCAGCAATGGAGACCTCTGGTCCACGCCCCCAGAATTCCACCTCAGCTGGACCTCCTAGACTGTATCCACCTCTCCCGGTGAGTACTGATGGGAAGGGGGGAGAAAACACAGCAATTAGACCGAGGCCACGCCCCACCAAGAAACAGGGGGAAAGAACCCCACTACAGATGTCCCTCAGAGAGCTACAGCAACCTCCAGGTCAGGACGCATGGGGCACTACCATCAGCCCCCTGCAGCCTATTATTACCAGCCATTTTCCTCTACGGATATATTAAACTGGCAGAGACATGCTCCACCGTACTCGGGGGAGCCACAAGCCATGATTAGGCTAGTGGAGACTATTTTTCAAACCCACCGCCCTACATAGGATGACATGATCCAACTACTAGTCTCCCTTTTCAGCACTGAGGAAGGACACAGGATCCTAACTGAGGCCAGAAAATGGTTCACAGAAATGACACCTGAGGGGACTGCAAACCCGCAGCGTGGGCAGAACTAGCCGCCCCCATGAGGGGCCCGATTGGGACTGTAACGCAGAGGAAGGGTGGGGCCTCCTGGAGAGAGATTGGGCGGCTACTTTCAAGATCTCAAGAGGGGGGCTGGAAAGCTATGAGTATCGCAAAACCCTCCGAAGTGATTCAGAGGGAAAGCAAATCACCCTCTGAGTTTTGGGAAAGACTATGCAAGGCCTGTAGACTTTATACACCAATAGACCCAGCCAGAGGCTGCTCAGGTCTCAGATGGTGATAAATGCAGCCTTTTGTGTCTCTAGCCTACCCTAAAAATGTCAGATGGGGGGACACCAAGTGACTTGTGAATTTTTATACATCCCTGAATGCCCAGTACCTTTGTTAGGAAGAGACTTGCTATCTAAATTGAGGGCACAAGTGACCTTTTCCCCCACGAAAGACCCACTGTTCGAGTGGGCTCAACCACCTATTTACTCTTCCTCTCGGTAACCCCTCAAGATGAATGGAGGTTGCACTATCTCCCGGAAGGGAAATCAGATGGGCTAAACAGTCAAGAACAGAGAGAGAAACAGAGAGAGTTAACTCAACAATTCCCTGATGTCTGGGCAGAAGACAATTCCCACCCCCACCCACCGCAGGCTTGCAAAACAAGTCCCACTGGTAATAGAACTCAAACCCGGTACAATTATGTCAGCACCCGCCTTGGGCCTGCCAGACCTTGCCAAGCCGTTTACTCTTTACGTGAATGAAAAGGACAAGGAGGCTATGGGAGTGTTGTCCCAGATTACGGAGACATGGGACAGACCAGTGACTTATCTCTAATCAGCTGGACAATGTTGCCACTGGGTGGCTGGGATGCTTACCGGCAGTTGTTGCAGTTGCCTTACTGGTCCGGGAGGCAGCCAAGCTGATTTTGGGCCAAGATTTGTTTGTAAAAGTCCCACATGAGGTCAACACTCTCCTGTGAGGGGACCCCCATAAATGGCTGTCAACATCCTGGATTACTCAATACTAGGGACTGCTATGTGAGAACCCCCATGTTACAACTGAGCCTTGTCAGGCCCTGAATCTGGCCACTCTCTTTCTTGTGGGAGAAGGTGGGCCCTCACATGATTGCAAGGAAATATGCCAGCAGACCTGACTTGAAAGACCAGCCAATCCCGGACCCAGATTTGGTCCTGTACACCAATGGCAACAGCCTGGTGAAACAAGGACAATGACTGTCGGGATAAGCAGTAGTCATGGAAGAAGCCATCGTTGAGGCTAGCTCTCTGCCATCACACTGGTGCGCTCAACGGGCTGAACTATATGCTCTAATCCGGGCCCTCCAGCTGTCAAAAGGTAAGAAGACAAACATTTACACAGACCCAGGTATGCTTTTGCCACACTACAGGGCTCTATATAAGGAGAGAGGCCTTTGACAGCTAGCGAAAAAGATATTAAAAATAAGGAAGAAATTAAGACCCTATTAGATGCTGCCTGGGAACCAGAAAGGGTTGACTGAGTATCCTCAGTCACTGCTGAGGACATCAAAAAGAGGATACCCCCTGGGCTCAGGGACCAGACTGGCAGATAAGACTGCTAAACAAGCAGTTGAGGGCTTGGGGGTGACCCTATTAAGTGAAGCCCCTATTAAAGCTCTCGTATTGGTGGAGCTACCTGAGCTAACGCTAGACTCTCCAAAATACACTGAAGCCGAAAACCAACTAGCCAAAGCAGAAGAGGCCATCAAGACTGAAAAGGGATGGTGGGAATCGCCAAGTGGCAAATTATTGGTACCGGAGGAGCTGGCACCCACTCTGGTAAGACAAACACACCAAGCGACCCATCTAGGCCATGATAAACTAGAAGAGCCAATTTGAAAATACTTCTTGACTCCCTGCCTCTCTTCCCAATGCAGGACAAAATCTCAGAACTTCACTGCTTGCTCACAGGTCAATGCTGCCTCTCGGCACAGAGAGAAACCTCCAGGGATTCAGCTAAAACGCACGCTGCCCTTTGAACACCTGGAAGGGAGGCCCCCTCCCATAATAAAACAGGTGTCAGGAAATTTGCCTCAGTTAAAGTTGCAGGTGTCACTCCCTGGAACCACGACATGAGGGTGAAGAGAGCATAGCATGCAGACCTGGAGGACGCTGAGTGGACTACATAAAAGGACCCCGCCGATCCCCAGGAAACCAAGATCATCTTAAAGAAGAAAAAGAGATGAAGCTCTACAATCAACTGCTGCTACAATGACTTGCTGGTATCATCTTGAGACTAACCATAGTTTCAGTACAAAGAGGGACCTGTGCTATAATTAAAGTTGAAAGTGAAAGTGAAGTCGCTCAGTTGTGTCCGACTCTTTGCAACCCCATGGACTGTAGCCTACCAGGCTCCTCCGCCCATGGGATTTTCCAGGCAAGAGTACTGGAGTGGGTTGCCATTTCCTTCTCCAGGGGATCTTCCCGACCCAGGGATTGAACCCAGGACTCCCGCATTGCAGGCAGACGCTTTACCGTCTGAGCCACCAGGGAAACCCATAATTCAAGTTGAATGTTGTGTATATATTCCTGATTTATCTGGCTATATATCAGCCACCCTAGATGACATGAAAGGTCAGGTAAAAGTTATGTCTGATGATAATCTTCCTTTTTGAACTTCAGTCCTATTTCGGTGAAGGGTGATTGGTGGAAAACTATATTTACCATTGTTATAGTTGCCTTGATGGTTCTGCTTTGTGGACCCTTAATTTTACAATGTATTATGAAGTTTGTAACCCAAAGGGTGATGTCATTCTCCCAAATTGGAGGTTAGAGAGTCAGGGTGCAATATATCCCCGTGAATGATGCTCATACTATGAGATAAGAGCATCAAGAAGAGGCAATGAAGGAGGAAACAGATAGAACAGGCTCCATCTTGAAAGCAGGAGGCCATCTTGGGCCGGACTGTGAACTTTGAGCTAGATGCCCAGTATCTATGGAAACCACACACCAACTGGAAAACCAGGCCCCCTGGATGGAAGAGCCCCAGGGCTCGTACCTAGACTCTCTGTTGCCTAAAAGAATACCCTAATTTCCTGTGTAACTGAATAGAATCATAAATTCTATTATGCTTTTGGGGTATGACCACAGGCCTATTGATAATTGTCCACTGTTAACTACCTAGGCTTAAGGCATATGAATCACGGGTTAATTGTATCTTTCTTTTCCTTTGTTCAGACTAGTTTCAGGGAATTTGGGGTGGGGGGTGGGTTTGGGCACGTACACTTAGGGTATATAAGGTTTTCAGAAAAACTGGTTGGGTTCCTTGGCTAAGAGGAGACTCTGCCTTGGGCCCTCTGGTGTAATAAACTGCACTTCCACTATCTGCATTATCCTTCTGAGTGAGTTTGTTTCCCAGAATGTGTGGCTACAACAGAGGTAGATGGCAAGGGCCAATTTGTAGTTGAGAACAAACACATTCATCTGTGCACACATACAGAAAATATCTCTTTTCTTTCAAGGATAAGGCCTTAGATTAAATAAATATTGCAATAAGGTAGAAAAAATGATAGAGGGAAAGCCTGCTTCCAAAATAGATATGATGCAGGAAAGAGAGGAAAATATTTATTTATTTTTTGGTTGGCTATAAGAAGATGTTGCTCTGAGAGGAGAACACACTGAGATAGAAGATTTCATAGAAATCTAAAATATTGCAGCTGAATGGAAGTTCATACTAGAGATAAGTAAGGAAAATTGAATGAGAGATATAGAGAATAATCTTAGGAAAATATTGTCAAAATACAAAGAAAAATAAAGGAAAGAAAGAAAGAGAAGAAAGATGGAGTAAGTTCAGAGATAAGAAATCCAAATAATAAATCATTGAAGAAGAAAAACAAATGAACAAAATATGAGCACTGATTCAAGTTATGACCAGAGAAATCTTTCTTACCCTAAAGAAGTCCTGAATTTGGAAATCAAGAGGGTTTACTATTTTCTAAGCAAAATCTATAAAAGAAAGTCTATACTTGGTTGTCTTACTGTGAAAATTATGTCAGGAATAGAGAATAGAAAAACATTCAGGCTGAAAAACAGTGTCCTCAAACTTCTTTACAGAATCAAACTTCTCAAAACAATAGAGGAATACCTCCAATTACTTGAAGGGGATAAGGTATCTATATTTAGACAGGTTGTCATTCTCTTACCACACTGATGCCCTTTCTAAAAAATTACTTTCATAGGTACCAGATCATTATGAAACGAACTAAAATTAAGAACTCAAAAATATAAAAAGTGAGAAAAGAACTACATGGAAGTTAATTAAATTCACGCTAATGGGTACAGGGTTTCCTTTTGTGGTGATAAAATGTTCTAAAATTGATCATAGTGATGTCTGTACAATTTTGTAAATGTGTTTAAAAACAATGAATCATAGGCTTTAAATGTGTTAATTACATGGTATGTGAACTATATTTCAAAATAATAAGATCAACAACTACGGGTTCGAATCTCCACCTCAGCACTTACCAACTGAGAGACTTTTGGAAGGTCAATTAACTATTTATTCCTTGGTTTGTCATTTTGTAACAGAGGGACAGTACCAACTTTAAATAGTTGTTTGAGAACTGCAAGTTGACAGGAACAGCATGTGGCTGTTGGACTGGAACATCATGTGGCTCAATACACTCTATAAACCTGTGGGTTAATGAACTAAGCCATCACCACATCCATGTATTAAATACTTAACTGTATTAGTTTCCTAATGGCTACCATAACAAATTACCATAAACTCAATGGCTTAAAACAACACACATTTACTCTTATAATTCTGAAGTTGCCAAGTCTGAAATCAGTTTCACAGGACTAAAATAAAGTGTGGGCAGGGCTACCTTTCCTTTCCCACTGCTTGATGGCATTCTGTGCATTCCCCATTCCTTGGCCATGGACCTCTCTCCCCATCCAAAGCCAGTAGCACAACCTGTTGCTACAGTGATTACACTGCCTTCTTCTGTGTCAGGTCTCTCTCGTCCTCTCTCTTATTAGACAATCTGTGATTATCTAGGATAATCTCCCCAGTTTAAATTCCTTAATTTAATGACATTTGCAAAGACTTTTTTTCCATATAAGGAAACATTCATAAATTCCAGGGATTCAGCACTGCAATCTTTGCAGCCTACCACCATTACTATATCAACCAAGAAAGAAGACAAAGAAAATAAATCTATGAAAAAGCCCTTATGATTATTTGCAAGTACACCAAAAAAAAAAAAAGCAATAAATAAGAAGACATTAAGCAAAAGATGGTATCAAGAACATTTGACACAGCTTACATTAGAAAATATAAGTACTGTACACAGTGCTTAGTCACTCAGTCATGTTCGACTCTTTGTGACCCCGTGGACTGCAGCCCACCAGGCACCTCAGTCCATGGGGATTCTCTATGCAAGAATACTGGAGTGGGTAGCCTTTCCCTTCTCCAGGGAATCTTCCTAACCCAGGGATCAGACCCAGGTCTCCTGCCTTGCAGGCAGATTCTTTACCATCTGAGCCACCAGGGAAGCCCAAGAATAATGGAGTGAGTAGCCTATCCCATCTCCAGAGAATTTTCCTGACCCAGGAATCGAACCTGGGTCTCCTGCATTGCAGACGGATCCTTTATCAGCTGAGCTACCAGGGAAGCCCACCGCACTATTACTTTCTATTTACCAATCCTTGTTCACTGGAAGCTTTGAAAGTCCTCCGTATCCTGCCTTTTCAGTGCAATGCTTAAAAAATTATTTTGCTGATGATACATTGCTTCAGATGTCTTTTGTGCATGTGTGTCTGAGTCTTTATTCACTTGAGCAATCCTGTTTCAATTTTATAGTTCAGAGATTCTGACCCTCACCTCCTAAATATTGCCAACCAGATTCACCTCTTGGCTCTAGCCACTTAGGGCCTGCAATTATTATTTGGAAGGGAAAGATCTGACAATTTTCATTCACACCACACTTCAATACTTCCTAAAATTATGTAGCCATATAAAATTCTGCTGTCTAAGATCCTGAGAACTTTATTTCCTCTTCTTTCATCTTTCTCAAAACTTTATTGAACTATTCCTTCTCTGCATCTACTTTACTTCTTTTTATAGTCCTAAGTCTCCATCACCACTCCCCATCCTTTTCTAATAAGCCATAATAAAAACTGATTCCCAGCTTATTCTTTCTCCTGGAATGAAAATGTGTAAGTAAAAATAAAAGCATATAAAAGTTAACGCACATACACCATAATTTCACATACAAAATTATGGTTGAGTAGGGATTACCATACAATAGAAATGACTGGATAGATTTACAAATATCCAGTTTCATATTTTAAAAACAGAATATACCTTATTCACAAGCATTCACAAATTTGTAAATATTCACTGCAGGCTTTGGTTCAAAGAAATCTCAGAAATATTAAAGCCATATTCTCTAATCATTGTGAAATAAAATGAAAAATTAATTAAAAGTAATGATTTAAATAAAAATGACAATTACTTGGCACTTTAGAAAAATTCTGAGTTAAGAGACAATAAATGCAATATCAAACTTTTTTGGAAATATAACACCACAGATTAGAAATGCATTGGATCTATTCATAGTTGTAAATCTCTGTATAAAAACACTAAGATTTCAGAAAAACTGTTGCAAATATAGTATAAAAATGAATATATTTATTTTATCAAGAGCTCACATAAATTAATTTCAAACATAAAATGAGTAAGAAACAGGCAATAAGAGAGCATACAAAAGGAGAACACCATGTGTAAAATGTCAAATTCATTGGCAATTAAACAAATACAAACTAAAACAACATAAAAGTGGGTAAGACTATTAAAAAAAAAAACAACCTAACCTCTCAGGGATGTAGCAAAACAGGAGCTGCTGTGGAAGCACAGAGGGTCCCACTTTGGTAAAGCAACTTGCTGACAGTAATCAAGAACTTTAAAAAATTTTTACAAATTTTAATCCAATCATTCTGCTTCTGGGAATCTATCCTCAGCATGGAACCCCACACATGGAAAAACTTCACACACAAAGATGTTTACTGGAATGGCAACCGACTAAATGTTCAATAACAGGGACACTGTTAAACTATGTGACTATCAAAATTATGCTAACAAAGACTATGCTATGAGGCAGAAAATACCTGTCCTTTATTACTGCACTAGAAATCTGGCTTTAAAATTGTATATATTGGCACAATCACAGTGCCATCTCTTAATTTTGCAAAGTCCTTGTCTAGTAAGTGCTAAAAGAGAGAGAACCCAGGCTAGAAAAAGGAACTGCAAGGAAATACACCAAAATATTGTCACGAGTGATTGTTTTTCTTTTCTCCTCTAATTCATATTTCATGTGTTTGTTTTTTAACAAGTATGTGCCATATTCCTTACATCCTCAAGGATATAAAGGAATTGTCCACATCCTTTCTGTGGATTAGAAGGAAATGCCTCTTTATGTAGGGCGTGTACTGCCATTGTTCCTGGGTCTCTAAATTCATTTTGAAATTCCAGCACAAAAACTGTGGGATGGAAGTATGTTAGGCAAACTCTTTCCTGCCTTCTCTACTCCAACAACTTCTCTTTTCCCTAACATTCCTTCAATTTTCCAAACCTAAAGAAATTCCATCCATACTCCCTGCACTCACTTTCCTCCTTTGTGTCTGGGATCCTTCTCACCTGTCTTCTGCAGTGCAGACAGTG